AATTTATGAGCCCTGGGTTTTTAATGAAATAATCTTGAAACAAAATGTAATCCTGGAAGTATAACATAAAGAAGAGAAAGGAACTATTAGAGTAGGCTAATGAGATGAGGCACATGCCCATGGATCCAGCTCTGAGACTATGCATCTGGCTTTGAGGCTGTCTGTCTAAGGTTACTTCAGCAGCGTGTTGTTAATTATTTAAGTGAGAGAACAGGGGGAACCATCACCACATCTGTCACCCTCACACAAGAAAAAAACTTCATTTATCGTTGGGCCAGATGTGTTTATTTGAAACATAGACTAACTAGCTACTTAATGGGTTTGAATCCTTAGCCAAAAGCTAATTAAGCAAACATATTAAGCATCAGCCACCTTACAAGGCTAAACTGTTTCAGTTGTGTTGATTTTAATCCAATCTCATAAGAGAGTTCATCACCTACAAAAGTATCTGAAGAAAATTCAAGGCAAAGGAAAGTTCCAAATTACTTGCAACATATTTCATAGAACAAATAATGGTGTCCCCAAATACCTGAAACATTAACAAATAAAATCTTCTCAAGTTTCGCCTCAGTGGTATAAGGTACTTGATAAACAATGACAAAACATTTTCATTGCTTGTAGGTGAAATATTAACATCAAAAACCAAACAAATAATGACTTCTCATGTCTGATATTTATTATGCTTTATATGATTTTTAAAACTCACATCTCCTGAGTATTTAGCCAATCTGCAAATTACCTAGGACTATCAGCAGTCTCTATGTTATTCTCTTCAAAAGTAAACAAAGCTCACAAGCAAACTGTAGAGAAAATAAATTCAGTGTCTGGGATAGAAGAGGCTTATTGTACTTTACAATTATTATGGAGAAGAAAGTAAGCTGTCTTCCTGAACTAGTCAATACTACTAAAACACAAAGATAGTTTTCTTTTCCCTTAAATAACATTTCCTCCAAAATAGGAATCTTATCATTTTTCTTCTACTTGATATAGGCCTTTGCCCCGCAGCAACCAAATGCAGCTCTTTACATAACTAGCAAAAGCAAATCAAAATATTTGAGAAAAATGTATTCACCCTTTCAGGTAACAAATATTTAGTGAATCTACCATGCGTCAGGGATCATGTCAGGTGCTAGAAATACGGCAAGAAACAAGGCAAACAAAATTTATCCTAGCAGGAAGGAGACACGATAACAAACAAACAGATGCTCTGGAGAAAAAATAAACCATGAAAAGGGAATAGAAAGTTCCAAACAAAAGAAGGGGGAGCCTGTATGATTGAATAGGGTCATCAGGAGAAGCTTACTGAGAAGGTGACATTTGAATAAGACTTGAAGACAACGAGAGAGTGAGCCATGAGGGAACAGACATTTAAGCAGAGGGGACAGCAAGTGTAAAAGTGCTGTCCTGGGAGTATCTGACGTGGTTAAGGAACAGCAAAGAGGCCAGTGCTACCATAACAGAAGGGTCAAAAAGATGAAGTCTGAGACTTAGCGAAGGTCCTGATCCTGTAGAGCCTTGTAGAACACTGCAGTGATTAGACTCTCACTGTGAGTGGAATAGGGAACTCACTGTAGAGAACTTTGAGTGGACGAGTGGCATAAACCGATTAACAGGACTATTCCTGCCAAGGACAGAAGCAGAGAGAACAGCAGATAGGCTAATATGCTAAGCAAGAGATGAAAGTAGCTTGGTCTGGGATGGTATCAGAGGAGGTGTTTGGGAAGGACTGGATTCTGAACATATTTTAAAATTAGAGCTGATGAGGTTTGTTGATGGCCTGAGTGTAAGAGAGATCATTAATCAAAGGTTTTTGACCTGTGCAACAAAAAGGATGGCGATACCAATGACTAAGACAGAGAACACAGCTCTGGGAGCCGACTGCAGGGGGAACAATCAGAAGAATCAACATGGAATTACAGATTCCTAAAAATAGGTCCAAACTTCAAGTCAATGTATTTATCATCGCTAACATAAGACATGATTACTCAGAAAACCACGAGTCCCAATGTGCAATTGGAGTTAAGATGACTCTAGGCAAAATGAATCTGCCTCAAATTTCAAGACACAGTCTAATGTTGCCACAAGCATGTTGTCAATAAGACTAGATTATTACATGACACAGAAAATGAATGCTTTTTTAGAGAAAGAAAAAAAAATTCTGATAGTCTTGCTTTTATATGTTATTCAGCTCCTTTTAATCAATTTAAAATATAAAGCTGATACTGCTCCAGTTTACTTACAGACCAGAAGTGATGTCCAAATCTTAAATATTTAAGCATTATTTAAACAGAAGTAAGTGCTCAAGTCAACTTGAAACTACTAAAATGATTCTCTTGAGTGCCATAGAGAAAAATATAATCTTTACCCTCTGAGCACTAATCCAGACTTTGGGTTTGGGCCGTGTATATTTTACTTTCTTCTGCTCTAGGTTCAGGATCAGTATAAAGTGATCTTAAAAATTGTATCCTCTTAATTATCACAAACATATTACATCAACTATTGTTGGGCTAGGGAATATTTGAAACATTTGTAATCATTTCCTTTGTAATAGAGAGGGTAGAAAAAAATCACAAGTGGAAATATTAAATTACTAGTGAAATTATTTGTATGTAGGTGATTCAAATAAAGGAATTCTAAACTAAATATCTCTTATTTTAACCAGTTATCATTATGGTTTATTACTACACTGAAGAATATGAGAATATAGACCTTAACAGGACTGAGAAACAAATTAAAGCACAAATATTTTCTAGTCCAAGGTGTGCCTTATTGAGCCATGTTCTTTTTTTCTCTTTAATCTTAATATTTAAAAACTATAGTAGTCAAATGTCTCACTTTGGAATTCGTGTGTGTGTGTGTGTGTGTGTGTGTGTGTGTGTGTATGTGTGTGTGTGTGTGTAAGTGTAGGTATAAATTCAGTACTCTGAAATTCAAAATAATGGCTGTGGTTCTGATTATTTAAAGGCTCTAACAATAGTTCTCAGACCCACCCAGATAAATGTGTACAGAACCATTTACTAAATATTTACAAAATAAAATAAAACAGACTTCACTATTTTCAACCTACTAAGAATGCAGTTTAAGTACTAACCAGAGTGGTTTGCCTAGGGCTTACTATTTCACGTTCAATATGTACAAGATACAATAAAACAACCAAATATAATTTGTCATCATTTCCTAATAATTTTTAGCTAAAATGTTTTTTAAATGTTTTTAATGAAGTACTTACTCTCCAACTTTATTCAGGGTAGGTGCAGGACAAAGCATAGAATTAAGCTCCACACTTACTGGCTTTACACCTAAAAAATAAAATGTCATAGAATTAAAAAAGGGTTTTATGTATCTTGCAGTTTCATTAATAATATGAAGAGCATATGGTAATCAAAGTTCAAGTGTGGAACATTAGATATATTAGCATGAAAAACCAAAATGATATTCACCTAAAGAATAAGGAGAATGAAAAAGAGAATGAAAAATAGAGATTATATGCTTCATTAGAGTCCCATACTGGTAAATTATAAATTATGATTTTTTTTACTTAGAGAGTTCACATACATTTGTAGATACTATAAAATTATCACCTACTGCCTCAATTTTGCAAATAACTTAGATTTTTAAAGATAAATTACATATTTTTTTTAAAGCAGAATTTAATAATGGTGGAGAAAAGAAGAATGTCCAAAGGAGAATGAATTTATTTCAAGAATTTAATAAAATCGTTGTGTCTACAATAAAAAACATATTTTATAAATTTGAATGTTTAAATTGCCCTTGTAATTTTAATAATATATGTGAAAAATGTCTACACTATAAATGTTCACAAAAATTACCAAAATCAAGCAGATAATACTAGAATGAGAATGATGAAAATACAATCTGACTCCACTTACTTGTTTGAGGAATTGTTTTAGTAAACTTAATCTTATGAAGCTAAGTGTAAAATATGTTTATATCATAATCAACTCGAATATATAATCAAAAAAAGTTAGATAAGTTTAGATACAGATGACTACTAAATAAAAAAATTATTTTGTCCTTTTAAATTGTGGAACCTGCTATGAAGAGAGTTTGTTACAAATTTTATTGTCTTGCTTTACCAAAATGATGAGCTTAATAGAAAGAGAGGAATTCACTATAAAATATATCATGCTGAGATCATCACCACTTTAATTCAACAAACACACATTGAACAGTTACTGTGTGTGGCCAAATTATACTAATTAGAGTGTTTAGTACCATCAAATAAATAGCAAAATTGTAGATGAAACTCCCAAAAAATAATTCTACCAAAGTTCTCAGAGTTGTAGCATCTGACTTAATGTATAAAATTTTAAGAGCCACTACAATCATCAATGAGGAAAAAATGTCTATTAGAAACCAAAAATGCTCAGAACACCAAGATCATTTAATGAGTTTTTCTCAGAATGATGATAAAAACATTATACTCGTCTGCTTTTTTTTGAAAGCCAAGCTAGAGAAAATAAAACCTAATTCCATAAATATGATAATTATCAACAAACACTGTTCTAGGTGGACACTGGAGATATAAAATATCTATAAGACAAAAACCCTATCTCAAAAAGCTTACTGACAAATTATTAGGAAATTAGATTAAAAAAACAAGTGACAATAAAACAAGGCAGTAAGTAGTAGAGGAGTCCAAGTTAGTTAGATTTTTTAGGCCAGAGTGATAAGAAATAAATCTAGAGAGAGAGGCAATTAAATCAGGTGGTTGAAGTAGTCCATACAGAGTGCAGTCAGGACAATTGGGTTCAACTCTCGGCTCTGCCCATTATCAACTGTGTCAACACACGCAAGTTATTTGACTTGTTCAGCCACAAGTCAATCATCTGTATAATAAGGCTACTCAGGATGGGATCTAGCATTTATTAAGTTACGAACAAATGTTGCCATCATTAAATAATAATTAAATAATTATTTTTACTATTTATATTATTACTGGACTTCATTTCTTTCTTCTTTGGTTAAAAAATATAGTATAAATTGTTTCATTTGGGGAAAAGAGGAAAATGCTTGATACCGACTTGCTGTGCAGGTATTAAAGCAACATTGAGATTTTGGGGACCTACTTTTTGTGTATGTTTCATTTACTGTATAAGTACAGAGAACACTGTCATGCCGGCTGCCCAAGTTGAATCCTCTTCCATTCAAAACAATTTGAAATTTCTCTAAAAGTAAAAGGAGAAATAAACATTTTAATCACTTTTTCACACGCAAAAAAACACATAACTTGAAAGCATCAAGGTGCACAGAAGGAATTTCTTCAAACTATTCAGCCAACTAATAATAAAGAAGACAGGGCTCTATTTCCAACTCTACTTGCTTTCTTAGACTCTTTAGGAAAATACAATGAAGATATCATTCACTGCCACATAGAAAAGCATTTCATTTTTTAAACAGTGTTTTCCAATAGTGAGCAAGATATTAGAATTGAGGCATTAAGTCATTCCCAGACAGATATAATACAAACTTTCCCAAATTCTATCCTTAGGAAAATATCATCAAAAAAGAATCTTCTTTGTTTTTCTCTACTTTCAGGTACTGAGGTATAGGAATGTAAAGAAAATTAATTATTTCTGTGCTTCGGTTCTTAGAATAGTCATGGGTTATGTTTAATCTATGACACTCCATACAGAGTTTGTTACCAATTTCTTTGCATTACCAATCCCAGTTTCATTTTCTGTTGCACACAAATTTGTGACTCGTCAGAGGTAACCTACTTTAGACTACAAACAATCTATAGCCAGTCACTAAAGAAAGCAGATTTAACTTATTGCACTCTGTGTCTATAATAGGAGCAGTCACTAAATGTTAGAGTAAAATAATATTTCAGAAGAAAAGTTAACTGATCAAATATCTTGATTGGCAAAGAAATATTTGCTGCTTAGCTTCAAGATGGAATATTACTGTTTTAACAGTGATTAATCCTCTCAAACACCTATCTAACATAATCTAATACATATGTAGTATGTAACTATGAAAAAAATACTGCCATGCCACTCTCCATTAAGTGTGTTATAAAAGGAATTTTACTTGTAAGTTAAAATAAAAACATGTAAAACAAAATATGACTTGGTAAAAAGAACATGAGATTTAGGGTCAGACAGACCAAGGTCTAATAGAACAATTACTAATAGCAAATACTGAACCTGTCTCTGCCTCAGTTTCACCTTCAGTGGATCAGGGATTATAAACCTACTGGGATGTTCAAATATACTATTTCTCTTAGACATCTCAGTAATCATTAACTCAGGAAATTTAAGATGCAGAACTTAATACCATGTCCTGCATTTGGGAGGCTCTTTGGTAAATTATACAGCACATTTTCTCCCCACCAGACCTAATATTATTCCTTTGCTAAGCAAAGTCAGGTTAAAATGAATTCCAGGTCAGACTAGAAAAATAGAACAAGCCAAAGACAATCATACTCTCTTTGAGTAAGAATGACTTTAAGGTGTTAAAACATGAGTCATTTCTTAGCACTAGGTGATGAAGTCACCTGCTTCCTTTCTGCCATCCAGCCATAAGTCACTTCCTTATGCACCCTGAGCTAGTGGATACTGTACTTTGGCCAGATTATCAAAGCATGAAACTCATAGTTTACAGATACATGACTGTTTGTACAATCAGATAAAAGAAAAAATTTCATTTTTTTTACTTGTCATAGGAAAGGTCTCAAACATGAACTAAATATACAGAAGATTCTAAAAGCCTGTCACACAATATGTTCATTATTTAAAATAACACTCCAATCTTAAAAATTTAAATTTAAAATAGAAATATTTCAAGGAATTATTTAAAAATTCTTACAGAAAAAGATGCCAAAAAAGTTAATTTTGCTATTCTCTTTCCAACATGAGTTTCAAATCATATATTTTAACTAGGGAAAAAATACATTTTCTTACATGGTATTTTTAAATTCTAACCACTTACCCCCCACACAGACACTTGAGGGCTGCAATTCCAAGATTTCCGTGCATGACTGAGCTAGTATCTAAAAAGGAAATAAAGAAGACCAAGATATAAAAGCCAATTATGTTATACGAACTGTATTATAAAGTTACTAATAACCTTGAAGTGCTCCCCTTAACTTCAATAGACGGCAGAGAAAATCTATTCACCATTACATATACAGCTACCAAGCTCTTGGCAAATTTCTGTGTTGTTTTTCAGTATAAACTTTAAGAGTATAGTCTGTAGGAATCTTTATTTGATTGAATACAGATAGCACAGATAAAGTGAGTGTTGCCTCAAAGTCCAGCCTTGGATACAAAAACATAACTAACATTTCCTGATAGCCATAAAGTCAATGCAGACTTTCCCCATCAAGGAAAAACATGATGGCAAATGAGACCTCCTGTTTTAATTATTCTACCTTAATATGTTTTCTAGTAAGAGGTTCAATATAATATCAATAAATAAAAACTTCTTTACTTGACTCTGTCAGTTCTATTTGATTTCTCAGCCTCGATTCCCATGGATACTAATAACCCATATATGTATCAGACATTACATTTGCAAAACACAGTCTCCTTGTATGAGCCAAATATTATTCTCGAAAACACAGACTCTGTACTCCTGCATTCCCAGAGCATAGAAACAGAATGGCTCTTTTTAGCTTGTTATGAGAAACAGAAACCACCATACAAGGCACAAGGCTACAAGTGAAAAACAACAATGATGAAATAAGCTGTTCTTGATGGACACAATAAGCCAGTATTTATTTTTGGAACTGCTCTGTGCTACATTATCGAAATCAGACAAATTCCAGATGATCTTTGAACAACATTCCTTTCTTGACAGAAGCTGAAAACAGATGATGTTCAGTGGTTTCTAGCATCTCCTGCTCATAACTAGAAGAGGAAGGAAGGACTATAGCAGGAAATAATGCTTTTAATGCTTTCTTCAACAACAATGGAAATATATATTATCAGACTCTAAAACTCAGCTGGGTCAAATCAGGCAATTTTTGTTGCTGAATATGCATCTCAGAATAGGGGTACCATTTCTACTTTTTTACATCGTTTCCCAGTGAATCCACTTTTCACATAGTGATTGAAGTTTTAGTGATTAGGAAACAAACATGATAAAAATTATATCTAAGAAGTTTTGCATAAGGTCTATTTAAATTCAGAAATGACCAAAGAGATTCCATAGGCACCCAAAAACCTTTCAGTACCCATACACCTCCTCTGAGTCTGCTATTCTATCTCTTACTATCAACGCTCACTCCTCTGAGGGGTGAATACCATTGTTTAATTAAGAATTGAGGTAAGAATTGAAGGCTATTATGAAAGGTTAATGTGCCCTCTTGGAGAGAAAGTACTTCAAATCACTAACACCCTTAAATATTTTGACATAGTTCAGATAACAAGGCTAGAAAAGGAATAGAATAGAAAAGTTCTGCTAAAGGAATACGAAGCTAAAAAGGTTCCAACTAACAAAAAATGGGACAGGGGGCATTATAGCTTTAGCTTTGGCTGGTCTGAAATAAAAATGAGAACAGTGAGCTACCAAAATAGAAGGTCAAAGGAAAACACAAAGCCCCCAAATTTATTATGTTTCCTAGAAGTGCCGTAGAAATTTCTTTTAAAACAGATTCTATTAAGGAGACAACGTCATTAGGTTTGCAATCTATTTATTATTTTTTAGCCACACCTCTGTGTTAGCATCACTGAACAATGTTTCAAACATCAAGGAAAAGTATGAGATGGATTTAAAGTCTGAATCTATTGGAAACAGAAATCATTTTTTTAATTCCTTAGAATAAGATAAATAGAGAAATTACCAAGAGAATTTTCAAAGGCCGTGTCAAAGAATATGCATCCCAGAATGACCTGTGTGAATTTCTGAAATGTTGGTTTTCTCTCTCATACCAGTATTGACCATAATTAAGTCAGATCTCATAATATTTAAGACAAACGTGTGTGTGCTGACTTCCTCTTTTAATTTGTTGTAATCCATCAAAACATTTTTTAAATGATAGTTCCAATAGCAAGACCAAATGAACAATTTTCATTATGGATCTCTCGTTAAGATGAGCGAATAAATACCTTCAAGGACTATGGATGGTCAGACCCTGTTAATCCCTTGTAAGGTATTATGGTTTTAAAGAAAAAGTTTAGGATCATTTAGTAATTTATGTTGCACTCAAGTCTTGAGATTTAAAAAAATCAAGTTATATTAAGCAAAGATTAAGAATAGCTAAAGGTTGGTTATATTTTGCAATAACTTGTATAATATACATTCATACATAAGAATACACTTATATTTGTTCATATTTGTACTTAATTATTTTAACAAAAGGAGTTTCATAGAAATTAAATTATTGAATTAAAAAAGTAGCTCAGGTAACACATTCATTGAAAGCCAAGCAGTTTAGACCATGAGTCATAAAACTGGCATCACCACTTGATGTAAAGCAGTTGAATTCCCCACAGACCATTACTTGCCTTTCTCTAAAGTTTATTTTCATTTTCTAAATTTCTTTGGACCTTATATCATATTATTTGAGTGGATGAATCACCTCCTCTATTAGAAGACAAGCTTTGCATACAGAAATGGGATCATATTATACTGCACAACTCTTTCAGGACTCACACATTGTTTTGTGCATGCAGTATAACCAACAAATGCTTAGGGAACACAGACTGGATGCATGAATTAATGAGAATATTAAGAATGCCTATCTAGTAAGCAAAGCAACCATCATATTAGGACCAGACAAGGCAGAATAAAGCTGATTTACAGAAAAAAACACCTAGTCCTCAATAAATTGTAAATGCTGGAAATCTAGAAACTCGTAATTTGAAACAAAGTTCACCAAAACCATTTCCAAATGAAAATAACAAGGGAGGGGCGAATGTTGTGGGGAGAGACGAGAAAGAAGAATGTGTAAGAATTTTTAGGAAATAACATTTTTTCTAACTGGTTTTTTCATCTACAGTTTATCATATTCCTCTGTTAAGAAAACAATAACTAAAAGTCAAAATAATTTAATATCTGTATGCAAGAAGTTTACATTATTAAATTTTAAAACAATTGGTCCTATAAATACAAAATAGTTCATAATATATTCTCACTAAGTAATTTCACAAGTTCAAATGTACAAGATATCAAAATGGGTCTATTACAGTAAAATTATCATCACTAAATGACAACTGACAGAGAGGGACAAATATTTTCAACACTCTAGATAATTTTTAGCAAATTAAATGCTGTTATTAATTGATTAAACATTGGATCGGGTGTCCCATCTATGGTAATTGATGCCCTTCCTGTACAACGGAGGATCCTGCAAGGATGTTTATTCAAATATGTGTTGCCATCTGTCTTCATTACATCTCAATAGAAACAGAAAATAGTTTCCACTAAAGGTCAGTCTTAGTTGACATCAGAGAGAGCTAATAGCACCACAGACCAATTTAAAGATAAGCCAGGGCACTTTAAGTCATGTACACACTAGATGCAAAATAGCATCATTTGAGATTTTGGAATAGATAGATATATAGATACATACATACATACATACATACATACATACATACATACATACATATAAATCGGCAAAGAACTTGATGTTCACCATGAAAAAGTATACTACTGAAGCATCTGTTCACTCAAAAGCATCAGTTCACTCAAAAAGTGATATTGGTATTAAGAAATATTTAAAATGCAAATAATATGTACATTATTACCAGATCTCTACTTTTAAATCCTCAAATATTAATACGGATGACAAGCCAAACTTTCTAAATTTAGTACAAATGTCAGTAGTCAAAAATTCAAATGAATTTCTAACAATGGTAATAAAAATTACCATTTGTTGAGCACTTATTATGTTCCAGGAACTGAACTGAGTACTTTATCCGAATTTCTTCAGTTAACCCTCTCAAGTTTTATGAATATACACTATTTTTATCCTCATAGAAGAGATGAGGAAACTGGGGCTTACAGAGATATTTAAAAGTCGTCCTAGAACAACTAATTTTTAAATAGCAGAGCTAAATCTCCCCAGGTTTGATTGAGTCCAAAGCCCATTCTTCTAATCAATGCACTCTACTAGCCTCCATGCTTTTGACCATCTAATCATTATAAAACCTAATATTTAATAAACTAGTGAAATTTATTTGCCTGTTTTGCCTGGACTCCATTTATACTATCAAAAACAATCTAAAATCTGGCTTTTTTCTTATCTTCAAAAGAATGTCACTAAGCTTTGACTTTTATTTGTTGGGGACTTTATAGGTTTGTTTTAAAATTCCCAATACCACTGACTTTGAACAAATTAAAATTTTAGATCATCATACAAATTAATAGGATCCTCAAATGTGCAGTGCCCTCTATTTCTTTTTTTCTCTATCATCCTATTTTATTACAGCTTTCTATCTCAAAATTGTTTTATGCCGTTAAAACATTTATACTTTTACTTCTCAGCATCACCCAGAACCTAAAAGACAAAAGAGGCCATACTAAAACAACATGCTATCAGAGGTCCTAACTGTTGTCTGGGGACACAGCAACCACTTGGAAAACCGAAATCAAGCTGTCTTTAGAAAGATTAACTTGGTATTTGACCTTAGAACACATTTTTTTCTTAAAAGTAATGACATCAATGGCATTTAGGCTTCAAGGTTCAAAAACTCTAGAACTTCCCTGAGTCCTGGGAACAGAAAGGACAGACATTCAGAACTAAGAAACAAAAGTTTGGGTTTTTTAATTTATTTTGGTTCTTCTGTCTTTTTTCTGGATGCGAAACTGCCTTTAGGCAACTTTTCGAGAGAGAATAGGTTAGTCTTTGTCCTTCCCTACCCCTTTGTGTCACATAGACACTCCATTTCTAAATACAATCACTATCCAGGTTTGCCCTACCTCCTAAAATATTCCATTTCAATATAGCTATTTGCATTTCATGAACTCATTCATACTAATGTGTGAATGTGAATTGATGATCCTTAAAACAACCTAGAGAGGATTATATCTAGAAAAAATCAA